GACCCCACCTCGGAAGGCATTCAGGCCACACTGTCGCAACGGGAAAACAACGCACTGCAGTCAAATGCTGCATGCTGCCAGCTACATGCGATGTAAAATCAATCAACGAGTTCAAGCGATATTCAGGATCGCTTGAGACGTTTCACGTCTGTGCCTCAATGTAGCTCCGCAAACGGGCCTTCGCCGTCCTTCAAGGAGCCGACCTTGAAGGCGATTGCTTCGTTGAGGCACCAGATCACCGCGAACTCCGCGAACTTCCACAATGCAACCATTGGAAAGGGCAAACACGCGGCGGCTTCCAGTGCTAACACGTCGCAAGCTGCGCTCGAAGAAAACTGCCACGGAAAAACCCCGCAGACCTGTAACTGCTTGTAGTGCAAAGGAGGCTAGCGTTTCACAACATCCCTTAGACTGTCTGATGCGATCGAAGTTGCAAGGATTTCGATCTGCTAAGGTTCACCTCGGCATCCCTCAGCTGAGTCTGAGAGCCAGGCTGACGTGGCCGGTTCCCAGGCTCAGGCCCCCGAAGACCCCAGCATCCTGTCCGGACCTCCATGTGCACAGATGCCAAACACTGTCAACCACAACAGCACGCAAAGCTCTGTTTCTCTTGACTTCTCCCTTTTCTGGCTTGTACTAGCGTAATCTAGCGTAGAAGCCCGTGAGCGATTTCCTGACCTCTTTTGGCTCCCCCTCGACGGGGCCGTCAGCTGCGGGTAGGGTTGGCGTTGGCAGCACCAGCACCTACCTATGTATGCATGTATGCATGTGTGCATGTGTGCATGTATGCATGTATGCATGTATGCATGTGGTGTAGATTGTGATTGTGTTTGGGGGGGCATGCATGGATGTATGTACAAAAGGCTGTCAGGATGTTTGGCGAGATGGATATGCGTTCCTGCGCACATGTGAAGTCAGTGTATGACCGTCGAAAACGAGGAGCAGGCCATGCAGGCCCCCATGCGCTCTTCGTCGAATGTATCCTAAGAGCCCTTTCGGTCGTGAAGACTTCAGCCCCTGCGCTGGTTTTACAGCTCGGGCAGCTCCTCCGCTGACGTGGGCACTCCTCACTGCCCCCGGCATTCGAGATGGCCAAGACGGAGGAGGACTTGAGAAAAGGACGGACGTCCACGAAATCCTCAGACACTCCCAGGCTCCAGGGTTCGACGCGAAAGGCGGAAGAAAGGGCATCGCAGCACACAAGCCACACTGCCCTCCAAAGAAATCCAAACAGCGGCCGAGTCTCCTCCACGTAATGCCAGGCAGATCTCAGAGTAAAGACGAAGCCAGGGTAGCACTTCCAAAGCAGGATGACCGACAAAGCAAACAACGCACAAAGCAGGCAACGCTTGCATGACGAGATGCTGCCACCCGGTGCTTTCCAAGAGTTGAGATTGGAGGCGTTCGGGGAAACCGGCTGATTCTGGTCGCAAAGTTGCGGTGCCAGCCGTGTCACCATGTGGTACCTCCATGTTGAGTTTGAGCCGTGCACAACACAACATGCTGTTGTGCTGTCCAAAGCGAAATCCCTCCTTTCTCCCATCCACTTGCCCGAAGCTTTCCAGGCTGCCCCGGAATGCACAACGGCGGCACTCGAACAGCTTCCTCCTACACGTGCGGTGTCAGGGCTCCGGGCTGATTGGCAAAAGAAGCCGGATGAGCAACGCTGTCTCACGACCGACCTGGCTGTGCAACATAGCAAAGGGTACCCACTTAGTCACCTAGACCCAGAGAGGGTGCGAGAGACTGCGAGAACTTATCTTGACGCTCATGCCCACAATCTGCTGCCGAATTTGTAAGATCGACAGACTCAGCCAAAGACTACATTACAC